ACTCAAGACGGGCACACCATCAAAGAAGGGGACTTCGCATGCAGGCAAAGCAGTCTCCAACAAGCCTCGGACCAAGTCTCTCGCGACCACCAGACGATCTAGTCAACAGGTCGGGAAGCAACAGGCACCCTCTTCTTCTGCTGTACTCAAGCGGGAAGAACTTCACATTAGCGTTGAAGGCATACGCGTTGTTCTCATCGGTGATGTACATGAGATGCCCATGCTCGACTGGCGCGTCAAGAAGTTTGGTGTCGACGTAAGAGACTGGTCAGGAGCGATGGTTGCCGACACCTCGCTTGACACCCTGGTTAACGTGTACAACTTCTCCAAGTCTGCGTGGGAGCCGCTCATCGAGCCTTGGGCCGTTGGCTTCCACATGTCCAAGGATCAGAATCCCGACAAGCTAGCCGTTGATATCTACTCGCGCAAAGCTATGGAACTCACAGTGACAGCCGCCACCATCGCGCTGGGATCTAAGTCGTTTGACTTCCTCACTAGCGAAGATGACATCTTGTCTAAACCTCGGGGTAGCGACGCTCCGTACCGTGTGCGCAACTACACTGGTTTCAGCCTCGATGTCTGGGCTGAGGGCAAGGAGCAAGAAGGCTTTGCAGCTAAGCTTGAGGACGGAGAAGAGCAGCCTTGGCGATTCGAGGACCCCATGTCGACCAGAGAGTCACTCTCCACGGATGGTGCAACCGGCATGCTTGGTATCAAGCTGCAGGGCAGTGGCTTCGATACTCTTACACGGGTACCTGTTCACCGAGAAGGCGAGTTCCTGTACAACCTCAAACCGAAGCAAGACCGCATCCAACATCGTCTATTAATCGAGGTGAAGCTTGGCGCCGACAACATCAAGAACATCACCATTCGTTCACCAATGTTGGTAGAGAACAACACTCAGATTCCGATCGAGCTTGGTATGTACAGCCCAGAAGACGGCCATCTCCTCAAAATCGACAAGATCGCTCCTGGAGATGCCAGACCAGCACCGGTCGGCGCCTGCTTCATGCACTCTATCGTCATCCGCCCCGATCAAGGCTTCGGCTATGCTTGGTCTAACGAGCGCTTGTTTTGGAAGGACTTGCTCAAGCGACCCACGAGGACCATCACTTGCCGTGGCGAGCAAGACGACCAATCGCCGCCGTTCTACTTCCAACTCCATGCGGCCTACGACAAGAAGGACCCTCTCACTGGCGTCTACCCGTACATGCGACTACGCCTCCAGGCACCAGTCGAAGTGCACAACCTTCTTCCATACGACTTCAAGTATAGGATCTACGACAGCAACACGAAGAAGGACTGGACGAACTTCCTTAGAAAGGGTGGTATCAGCCCAGTTCATGTAGTGGAACTGTCGCATCTTCTTCTCATCAGTGTTGAGATGCAGGATGGACCTTTCAAGCCCAGCAAATTTGGCATCATTAACTCGACCGATCGCGAGAGTTTTAGGAGAGAAAAGGTGTTGGAGGTCAAGGACAACAACGACACTACTCTGCACCTCAACATGCATTTCTTGTAAGTACATTGCATTGAGATCTAGTTACAAGTACTAACAGTTTTCAGCAACTTCCCCGACGGCGGCGGCGCTTTCAAGGTTGCGATCTACAGCCCTTACATCGTCCTCAACCGTACCGGTCTTCAGCTTGATGTTCGAGCTCAGCAGCTCATGGGCCAAGCCAGAGCTGCTGCTGGACAAGGTGTCGTAACAGACAACCAGGACGATGCTGGCAAGGCCTTGCCCTTCATGTTCTCTTACCCGACAGAGAACAAGAAGAACCGTGCCCTCATCAGGGTCGGCGAGTCAAACTGGAGCAAGCCTCAGAGTTTCGATGCGATCGGTAGCACATACACGGTAGCCTTGCCCTCAAAAGCGGCACGCTCTGACATGCACTTGGGTGTCTCCGTCTCAGAGGGCGAAGGCAAGTACAACTTGACCAAGACCGTTTCCATCGCACCGCGCTTCATCGTCAACAACAAGATGAAGGAGGAACTACTCATCCGAGAGCCTGGACAGTCTGATTGGATGACGGTGAAGGACGGCGAGCTGTTCCCTCTCCGCTGGCTGCGACAAGGCGGAGCACCACAATTGTCCCTCTGCTACCCCGGTGTTAACAACCAGTGGTCTTCTCCTTTCAACATCTCGAACGTCGGCAACGTCCACGTCAAGCTCTCGAAGGCTGGACAGCGCCAGAAGCTTGTTCGTGTCGACATTCTGATGGAGGCAGCAACGATCTTCTGCCATGTCAGCGTTGAGAACAAGCATTGGCCGTTCTCATTCAAGAACATGAGCGACCAAGAGTTCCTGTACTGGCAAGCTAACCCCAACCTGGATGAGGACGAGGATGACCGCGGTTCCGGTTTCCGACCGATTAGGTACCGCCTGCCTCCTAGGAGCATCATGCCATATGCGTGGGATTTCCCGGCTGCGAAGAACAAGGAGATTGTTATCAGCGCCAATGGCCGAGAGCGACATGTCAAGCTTGCCGAAATTGGTCCGCTCATTCCATTCAAGATACCGCCTGGCCAGGAACGTGGCGGCATGAAGGTCATCGATCTGAACGTCGTTGCAAAGGGTCCTACGCAGACTCTCGAAGTATCGAACTACAAGCCATCTAAGAGTATGTACAAGCAGAAGTCTGCTGGCTCATCTTCGACGGCGACCGGCTTCGAGGTTAAGGATATGGACACAGACGTCACTTTCAAGGCGCAGATACGCCTTGCTGGTATCGGCATCTCGCTCGTCAACCGCCATCTCAAGGAGCTCGTGTATGTTACACTGCGCGACATCGAGATGAAATACTCCGACTCGCCCCTCTACCAGATGGTCAACATGCAGGTCAAGTGGATTCAAGTCGACAACCAACTCTACGGCGGCATCTTCCCCATCATCTTCTACCCCAGTGTTGTTCCGAAAACGGGCAAGGAGATGGAGGCGCATCCCATCTTCCAGACGACCATCACCAAGGTCAAGGACGATTCGTATGGTGTGCTGTATATCAAGTACTTCACATTCCTGCTCCAGCAGATGACGATCGAAATCGACGAGGACTTCATCTTCGCCATGATCGACTTCGCGAATATCCCTGGTGCTTCTTGGTCCGAAGAGAAGCAGGGCAAGCTATGGGATGACAATCTCAGCATACCCGAGCCAAAGCAGGAACAATCTGGCCAGGACGTCTACTTTGAGCTTCTCCATCTGCAGCCTATGCAGATCGATCTGTCGTTCGTCCGAACAGAGCGCATCAACGCTGAGGATACCATGAGCACTTCCAACCCATTCATGTTCGCCGTCAATGTTCTCACCATGTCAATTGGCAACGTCAACGATGCACCAGTACGATACAACTCGTTGATGCTGGAGAACGCTCGCATTTCGACAACTGCGTTGATCAACAACATCAAGAACCATTACGTACAGGAGTCGCTGCGACAAGTGCACGTCATCATCGGGTCCGCCGACTTCCTCGGTAACCCAGTTGGTCTGTTCAACAACATCAGCTCTGGTGTTGCAGACATCTTCTACGAGCCATACCAGGGTCTCGTCAAATCGGATCGACCCGAAGATCTTGGAATCGGTATCGCCAAGGGTGCATCAAGTTTCGTCAAGAAGTCCGTGTTCGGATTCTCGGACAGTATGGCCAAGTTCACTGGCAGTATGTCAAAGGGTCTCTCTGCGGCCACCTTGGACAAAGAGTTCCAGGACCAGCGTCGCATGTCGCGGTCTCGCAACAGGCCCAAGCACGCACTCTACGGTATCACATCCGGTGGCAATGCTTTCGCCAGCAGTCTCGCCAGTGGTCTTGGTGGTCTCGCCCGTCACCCCATCCAAGGAGCTGAGAAGGAAGGTGCTCTTGGTTTCGTAAAGGGAGTCGGCAAAGGACTATTGGGAGTACCTACCAAGGCCGCCATCGGAGCCTTTGATCTTGCTTCCAACATGGCAGAAGGTGTGCGCAACACAACCACCGTCTTCGACCAAGAAGGCCTTGACCGCGTGCGCCTCACGCGCTTCATCGGCACAGATGGCATTGTGCGCCCCTACTCTCAACGCGAAGCGCTCGGTCAATTCTGGCTGAAGACACTTGATAACGGCAAGTACTTCAACGAAGACTACATTGCGCATCTGGAGCTGCAGAACAAGGAGATGCTCGTCATGCTCACATACAATGGCCTTATGATGGTGCGCACAAAGAAGCTGCAGACTGAATGGGATGTACCCCTCAAGGACGTCCAGACCATCAGCAAGGAGAGGACTGGACTGGGCATTACGCTCAAGGGAGGCACGAATGGGCCTTTCATCCCGGTTAGTGATGAGGAGAGTAGGAACTGGTTCTACCGACAGGTTGCTGTGGGTGTTAATGCTTATAATGACCGGTGGAACGCGAAGGGCTGATTGAAATGGGGAATGGGTGAGTAGAAAGGGAGGTTTAATGAGGTTTATGAGTACATGGCATAGCGTGGTTTTGGTATGAGTTTGCGGTTTCGATTGGACTCCTATAATGTATACTCTTTCTATCAATCAGACAGTTTTTCTCTTGGAGCAATGGAGCAACATGATCGTGCGTCATCTTCAGGTGGACTTGTCAGCATGGCCGGGCTGGAGCGAGGCTGGGCCGAATTATGATCGAACCGATAACATGGCGCGTGAAAGCCCCACCGCGCAACGGCACATTTTGTCTCATGGTGACAGCTCCTTCGCGTTATTTACGGGTCGCGGCACCGTTGCGATCCACTACGAGACAAGGATCACGATTGCGATGCCGAAGCATGGCCGGCGATGATGAAAAGCATGCATGACGTCAGACTGGCGTCGCGCGTCAACCTGCGGGGGAAGCTTGTAGCTGGAATCGCAAAGTACTATCTAACCCTATCTTCTCTTGTCTTCTCCCCAAATATACCCAGCTCGTACTTTGTGTACATTACTGCACCCGCGTTTTCCACCTCCCTTTGCTTTTCCCTATCACATCTTACCTACATACCCAGGTGCCCGCTAATCTAATATGCTTCGCAACGGAGCGTCGCGCCTCGCGCTGAGGTCCGTAGCAGCGCCCCAGTCGGCACGCCCGGCTGCGAGCTTCACACGCACAACACCTTCTTCCCTGAAATGGGCAACACAATTTGGTTCTCTGGCTGCGCGGAGACCGCAATTAGCTGCGCAATGGAAGCCTGCGTCTGCGGTCTTGCGCCGCAGCATGGCGGATAAGACGTTGACGGAAGGGCAGAAGCAGGCGGAGAGCAGATATGCGCACGAGAAGATTAAGCCTACGCCCGAGACGGTGACGAGTACTAGTTCGACGCATCCGATGTTTTCGGAGGTGGGCACCGAGCAGCCGCAGAATGAGGTGGATATGGCGGCGGGGTTGAAGCATGATGTGGTATGTATACCAAGTTCTTTCTGCACAATCGTGACGACGTGTTTTGGTTGTGGTCTCTAACAAATACCAGGGCACAATCAAAGAGACATTCTCTCTGGCTGAAGTCCCTCGCGAAGCATACTACATGGGTCTCGCAGGCACGCTTCCCTACCTCGCAACCTCCATCTCTACCGTGTATCTCTCCTGGGAACTAAACCACTCCACCGCGGGTTACGGCATGATCTTCTCTCAAAAAGACGCTACATATCTCCTCTCCCTTATCGAACCCCTCCAAATCGGATACGGCGCGTCCATCTTGAGTTTCCTCGGCGCTATCCACTGGGGACTAGAGTGGGCAGGCTACGGAGGCACACAGGGCTACAAGCGCTATGCAATTGGCGTTGTAGCACCCATGGTAGCATGGTCAACACTACTCATGCCCGTTGAAGGCGCGCTCATCTCGCAATTCTTGGGTTTCGTTGGGTTGTACTATGTTGATACTCGTACGTCCTTCCCCCCCCCCCAACCCGTCCCAATAATCTATACTGACACAACACACAGGCGTAAGCCGCCTCGGCTGGACACCCAACTGGTACGCCGTATACCGCTTCGTCCTCACCGCCATCGTCGGAGCCAGTATCGTCCTCACTCTCATCTCTCGCAGCGAGCTTCCGGAACATATCCCTGGTCCTGTTGACCGCGAGAAGGTTTTCAAGGAGGAGGGTTCCAGCGAGGAGAAGCTGGCTAAGCATGAACATGCGGCTGTCGAGAAGAAGAAGAATGCTGCAAGGAGTGATAACAGGGGTGAGAAATAAACGTGTGCGTGCGGGAGGAATTCGAGAAGGTGTGGCTCTTTTTTTTTCTGGCGACGAGGCGTTCCTGGTGAGGAGCCCATGGTCGTGTTTTTTTGGCTTGTGTATATAGTTGAGTACCCTGCTTTGGCGTGCGATATATTGAAACGGAATCATCCTGTTATCTGACTTGTCTGTTGGTCGCGTGAGCTATGATTGCGATTGTTGGACATGTTCTTGCGACAGTCCAGTCACGCTTCCTCGGATATCTACGCAAAAACATGTACATTTTAATTTCGAGCAAGCATGGAAATAACATGCTGCGAACATCTCTCCTATAACAAAAGGACATGGATATATGCGACTACATAGCAAGAATGCGAAAGACAGCGCAACCAGGGTCAGGCCATCCGCGTACCAATGGCAACTGTGGCACCTCCGCCCTTGGCTCCGCAGTCCACACCTTGCACATGCGCCGATCGTCATCGCTCCCACCTGTCCCCAACCCACCAACCCTCATTCACCACCCCAGCCACGACACCTCACCCGAACCATGTTATAATCACCCCAAATCGCAATCGCAATCGCAATCGCACAACCTTCTCCCCACCCCCCGCTTTCCCACCAAAACGCGACAATGATCTCCTCGGGCTTCACCAACGCGCCCGTAACGCAATTCCTCGTCTTCGGCACCGTCATTGGCGCGCTGCTGGCCGCGATTACGGATTCGAGATTCTATCTGCATATTCAGGTTGTGCCGCATTTGTGGGGGTATGGGCAGTTTTGGAGGTGTGGGGTTTGGATGGTATGTTTTATTTCATTTGGGGAGAGATGGGGAGGAATGGATGGGAATGGATGGGAATGGGGTGGATGAAATGGATGAAATGGATGCTAACATGAGATTAACAGCTAAGTTTCACAAACTCAACCGAAGTCCTCTTCGCCGTCTTGACATTCTACCAACTGCGCGTTGTGGAAAGGATTTGGGGGAGTAGGAAGTTCGCTGTACGTATCCCCTCTCCCATCCCACCCCTCCATCCAATCCCCCATACCCAGCGCATCCAAGCTAACAAAACAACAGTCCTTCCTCCTCTCCACCCTCCCCTACACAACCCTCCTCCCGCCCCTCATCCTAACCTTCCTCCTCCGCCCCCTAACCCTCGGCCGCATGAACCACCTCCCCGCCGGCCCAACCCCCCTCCTCTTCGCCCTCCTCGCAAACTACTACGCCGCAATCCCGTCCACCTACCGCTACAAAATCTCTCCCTGGGCCGCCTCCACCCCATCTCCATCCCAACAATCTTTCTATCGGCGCTCCATAACGCTGACTTCGAAATCCTTGTCCTACCTTCCCCCTTTGCAACTCGCGCTATCCCAGTTCCCTGGGAGCTTACTAGCGGCGGCGGTGGGGTGGGGAGTTGGAACGGCGTATAGGCGCGATGTGCTGCCGGGGGCGGCGAGGTGGAGGGTGCCTGGGTGGGTTGTAGGTGAGGAGAGGAAAGGTGGGTTTGAGGGGTTGAGGGCGAGGTTGGAGGATGAGAGGGAGAGGGAGGGGGGTGGGGCGGGGTTGGCGACGGGGATTTTGGCGGAGGGGGCGGGGGAGGCGAGGCAGAGGAGGACGCTTGGGGATGTTGTTGCTGAGCAGTTTAGGGGGAGGGGGTAGATTGGGATTGTAACATTTCACGGGGGTATGAGTTGGTTTGGGATTCGCTTGTTTTGGATATGTGTGATCATGATTTACTTCACTTATGTGTTATGGAAAAGATATGAGGATGGGTGATGTTATTATATAATGTTACGTCGATATACTCGACTAATGATACAGTTTCCTCCTTCTCTGCCCTCTAGACAGACAGATAAAAGCCGAACGTAGACGCGAAACAAAGCCGCAATCTCAAATATACCACTCCCACGCTATTGAATGACCTCCTCGCGGAGTAAATTATCTTCCTTCTCAAACGCCGTTATCAAAACCCACAAAAATACGGCCGTACAATCATTAAAAACCCAAAGAAAAACTACCGTAAAGAAAACACCGAATCCCTCGACCCCTTACCCCCCCTCATCTTACTCATAAAATCCTCCGTACTCTCCTTCGCATTAAACAGCAGGTCCTTCTCCACAGCCACCACAGGATGGCTATTCAGCGCACTCGAAGGCGTAGGCGTAGGTCTACGACTTCGATACTGACCCGTTGTACTACTACTCCGCGTCCGCTGCGTAGTACTAGGACGAGCAACAACAGCAGGAGTAGGATTTGGCCCGGCGTCATAACCACGTGGCACTTGTATGCCCTGTGCTTGAATCTCCTGAGCCATGACTTGAGAGTGAGTTAAACGATCGAGGCTGCGCCACCATTGGTCTTTGGCTCGACGGGGATCTAACGAGCTGGTTAGATCGAGGGTGGAGGTGTTGGAGGCGGGGGAGTAGGGGGTGTAGGAGGGGGGTGGGGTGGTGGATTCCCACCCTGGAGCTATGGAATGGCGGTTCGTTTGGGGGGTTCGCGCGTCGATGGAGGAGGAGCGGTGGCGTGGGGAGGTGCGTTGGGGTGACTCGGTTGAACGATCGGTGGTTCGGTGTCTGCTGCTGCTGCGGGCAGGGACGTGAGGGGAGGCCTCGCGGGTGGAGTGGTGGCGGCCTAGGGAACTGCCGGGGGTGGTTGTGGTACTAGGGATGTAGCTTGAGGATGGGCGTTGGTCGGTTGATGCTCGGCTTGAGGGTTTGCGGGGGCGGTATAGACCGCGTAGACCGTCTGGTTGGCGGTCAGGAGCTTGAGGGGCAACTGTGTGCGGTCGTGGTGGGGAGATCTCTGCTGCGTCCATCAAAGACAGTGGACGTGGCTGATCGATTTGGCGAACGTGCTCACGGCGTCTGGAGGGAGTGGCAGACCTGTCATCCGCTACGATAGAAGGAACCTGTTGCTGGTGGGCCGTAGGAACTGCGGGAACTTCTTCTGGCGTTGGAGAAAGAGACGCATCACGTAGTGCCTTCAGGGATACTGCAGACATGCGCTCACTCAGATCACGAGCAGACCGTCGTCGCTCTTCCTTCAGATCAAGGAACTTCTTCGACCGTTCTGAAGGCGTAAACGACCTGATGGACGCACTGCTATGCTTGGCTTGCGGCGATTCAGGCTGGCTGTAGTAATCCGAATCGAAGTGCGAAGTAGAGGGCCGCGACTCGTCCACACTGAAGACGCGAAGTGGAAACTTGCCCGGGCTGTTGACGAGCGTGCTAGCAGGGGAATGGCTTTCTATAGCCATGACTCGCTGTTTGAGTTGCTTGACTTCTTCCGAAAGCAACTCCTTCTCTTCCTCCATCATGATGATGGTCTCGGCAGCTTCTTCGATGGCGAGCTCGTGATCTGTCCAGTGTGCCGCGCTCTCGCTCGCTATAGCGGTGAGCTCGATGTTGGTCTTCCGATGCTCCTCGTCGATTTCTCGCAGCTTCGTCATCTCTTCATCCATCTTTTCCATTTTGAGTCTGAGTTGCTTGTTCTCCGCACTCAGCTCGTAGTTCAAATCCTCTAGTGGCTCCATCCGTTCGATTTGTTCTTTGGCGGCAGTCAAATCATGCTGCAGCACCTTGTTGTCCTTCCTCAGCAGCTCCACTCGCATGTTGGCAGTCATGAGCGTCTGTTTCAGCTTGTCGATCTCGTCTGTGAGTTCTCGACTCGTCCTGGACTGCGGTGGACGAGCATCGCTGGGCCGGCGTCGTCGGATGGGCGAAACCGGGGTCATCTGTTCTTCTGTGAGGGCGAATTGATCAAAGATATCAGGCGAAGTCTTAGGCGTGCATATCTCCGGAGGCTTCTGTGCTGGTGGTGGGGGCACTTTGATATCCTGAGGTGAAGGAGTAGGCGTACCCTGTGCCCTCCGTGCTTGAAGCGCATGCCGTAGGTATTCTGATTTCGGTGCCAGGGAGTTCGATCGAGAAAGCGTAGGTCGGGTCTGGTCGGGGGTAGACGGCCTAAAGTCTATCCCACGCGAGGAACCATGTGATGAAGAGGTGTTCGACATGTTGGTGTGGAGTTCCGGTGAATAACTGCGACCGGCAGTATTATAGGTAGACTTGCAGTGTTCTCAATCCAGCAGAAACAGCGCTTTGTTCGCGAGAGAAAGCTGGTCGCCGACAATGCGATTGTATAGTTCAAGTCCTGTGCGCGAACAATGTATGCGCCTCCAGTTCTAGCAATCGTCACGCGACCAAGACGGGCGATATCGTGCAGTCGGTTGGGTAGGTGTAGGGCGAGGTATTCGGTAGGGTATGCGAATCGAATGTGAGGTTTGCGCCTATGCGAGGGTTGTTGATAGCAACGGCGCTTGAACGGTCGCGTCGCGTGCGAAGACAGGTGGATAGTCGCTCGAAAGCGGGTCGTTCTTGGGGTCCATTCGCGCTATGGCAGGGACAATGCTACCGTCGACGTATTGCGCAACTGTTGGCGTCCTGGGTTGTCGTGGTAAAAGAAAATGAGCGGTCAAAGCAGTCGAGTGCACGTTGCTGGGATCGCGTAGATGGCTTCGGTCGTGACTTCACGGCAGGCGCATTCACTGGCGGAATTGGAAAGAGGAAGTGAAGAGACGGTAGTATTAGAGAGACTTGTGCGCGTGAAGAGGACTCGAAAATGACGAATTGTCTCAGGGATAGCGAAGAGTCGCGTCGGGCAGCAACTCTCAGTGGATGGGGGAGGGAGGGCCAGAAGGGAAGACTTGACCGAGATAGGGCAAGTGAGAAGGGGCACAGCGGGAGCCCTTGGCCGGCGCGACCCAGCACGGCGGATTGCACGTCGCGTCAACACTTCCTATTCGTGCTTTTGGGAGATGAGTGGGGATGAACCTGGTTGAGCCCCTTGCCTGGCCGACTTGACGAGTGCGGTTCCTGGGATTGCTGCATGAGCGACGCATGTCGTCACAAGAAACATCACGAACGAGACATTGCGATTGCGGGGGATTGTGACTATCGTGACCACTGTCTCGAGGCGCGCTCTGCTTTCCCCTACGATAACTTCAGCATCCAAAAGAAACATCACAAGTGCGAAACCGCCTGCGAACCCGAGTGCGGCGCAGTGTGGCGCGTTCCCCGACCATCCAAACTATGCCCAGTAGCGCTGCCTCCAACGCAGGTCAGTCCTGTCGTTCGTCGGTCGTCGCCGAGGTGATTTGTGATGAGGCACACGAGAATATCCAGGACTCCGTGGTCTCCCAGCTTCCATCATTTACTTTCTTTTTCTACCAGATCTGCGACCGAGCTGACGTAGTCTACCACGATCTCAGTCCTCCACCCAAGATCTCTGTCGACCCGGCCTTGTCCCTGCTGTGTGGCCGTCAACCTGCATACTTCAGCTGTCAAGCTCAGGCCTCAACCTTCATGTTGCCCAAGCATTCGGGCTCCCCTCCGACAAGCGATCGCCCGGCATAATGTCGGCGCCAACACTGTCATTCCGGCATTTTTTTTGCTTGCTAGCTGCCTTCTTGGTGGTTTTGTCACGTCGCAAGTAGACGGTCAATTGCTGAGTTAATTGCTTGGCCGAACCCTGTGCCCCGCTGCTCTGCATGTGGGGCGCAAGAGAGAAAGCTTATGTCTATCGTGAAATATTAAAGATATACAAATAGTGTGTGGCCTCTTGCATGTGGGGAGCGGGGGACGGTGATCATTCCATCTCCACTGCCATGCCAGCCTGTCGCAGTCGGTCCTCCCACTCGACGCGCAACCTCTCCATCTCCTCCCAGCACTTCCTCCCAGTGTCTGTGAAGCGCTCTTGGCTCTCCTTGGTCAGGTCTTTGGCGTATGGATCCCTCCCCTTCCTCTTGTACTCTCCCAGCTTGCCTCCCCATCCCCATCCTGCCACCTCAGTGCGATCTACACGCTCCTGACCCCAAACATCCGCCGCGCTTCCCCACTTCCCTACGCCTTCCTTTGCCTCCATGTTGTCCAATGTGCTTTGACTTGCAAGCGCCAGCCAAACCATGGCAGTCGCACCCTTGTCGACCGAGATGGTATGCCAATCGCTGCCGAGAAGGCGCGCTATGTAGAAGGCGGCGACCATGGCCCATTGGAGGATGAGGGGAAGGGGGACGATCGAAGTGGCGCATATGCCTGGGTGTGTAACGTAGAGCCGTGGCTTCGTGGTCTTTTCCGTATCTTGGGCGTGCTCGAGGTACTGATCGACCGGCTCCGTGGTTGAAGGTAATCTAGAGGTGATGGCCAGGACATCTGTCAGTCTCTTCGTAGCCTCGTATGGCATATGCGATGTGATGCCTTGTATGTCTTCTGTGTCGAATACGTGCTCGTACGCCTCCAAGCTGCTGACCCAAATCATCCTGCCCCTAGTCCCCTCGTTCCTGGGATGTTTCGCCAGTAAGGGTGCGAGGTAGTGTCCTAGCAGATAGTGCCCAAAGACATTGGCGCAGAAGACCTCGCCTAGAGGAGGCTCCTCTTCCGTCTTCTTGTCCGCAGGTATTTGTTCCTTTGCAAGCCATTCACGACCAGAGATCTTGTACGTGGGCCAAGTAGTGGCCTGCAACCACTTTGTGCAGACCGACCAAACGGCGCGCGGCCAGTCGATACCCGTCCATCCACCTATGCCAGCATTGCAGATGACTGCATCGAGCTTCGGTGTTGTTTCCCGGAGTTTCTTGCTCAGCTTCTGTACCGAGACCAGACTCAGCAGGTCGAGTCGCTCCTGCCGGAAATACACGCGATTCTGCAGCACCTGTGCAATGCCCGGTAGCTTCTGTTCATGGCTGCGAATGACCTTGCGCAGATGATGTTGTAGCGTCTCGATCGTCGCGTCGCCTTTCCGTTGGTCGCGTGTCGTAATGATGAGGACGAGGGATTCGTTCTGGGGGCGCGTCTGCAGGAATTCGTCGATCAGGCGGGTTCCGATACCAAGCCCCAGGCCGCTATGCACGAGTCAATTAGCCGTACATGAAAGAAGAGTAGATGTTCCAACCTGTTTGCGCCCGTGACGAGGACATAGAAGCCATTGTCGGGTGTGGGAATGTCTTCGAGACGCGACATATTGGCTGACGTGATGGAGGATGAGCGATGCCTGTTCCTGAATTCGCTACGGCAGAAGGCGCGCTTTGACCAATCACGACCTACATCATTCTTGAACACGACTTTTGGTTGGACAATTCACGTATGCATGTTTTGAGCCTCTAGACAAAGTTTTGTGCGACTATTCAGCATGAGAGTATGGTTGCTATGAGCAACTGCAAGTTTGGACAGTATGCAAGAGTGAAGTGAAACGTGATATCATAGGATGAAAGCGCAATGATGGTGATCACTTGTGTGGATAGTCTGACATAGACTAATTCTATCGTGCTCTGGGTCCTAAGATCATCTCCCATGCACATGTTAGTCTTCAATCACCTTTCAATACAGTACACAGACAACAAGCACACCAGACCACTGAAACTCAGTATACTACTGAAGCAGTTTGAAGACCCGAGTAACAACAGCGCCTTTCTACGGAAAAGAACTCTCCCCCTCTAGCCCCCTCAAAAATGCTCTTCCAAAGTTGTAGCAGTCAATAGTCGACCGGCTGATATCATCTTGAGCCACCGCCTGTGGCTCTCCAGCAAACAAAGTTTACGACTTTACACGGCGCCCCATCCCCCACATTGACCTCGTCACGAGCCAAAGCAAACGACCAAACGACCAAGTCCCGCACGGCAGACACGGCAGACGCAAATAACCCAACAGTTTTTGCACTTGAGATAAACTTCTTCAAACTCTATTGCCAATGTGGGTTCAACATTGCATTATCTCGCTTTCGTTCCTCGTCTCGATACCACACTGCTTATAGTGTAGTAGCAGTAGCGCAGTTGATGCGCAAAGTCCAGTATGCCAGGATGTACCATGTGTAACCCAAGGGATCCACGACATGGACTTACGCGCATACGTAGGGTATGACAGACAGTCTGTGTCATACACGTATTCGGATATCTTCCAAACCGTCCGCTAATCATGAGTGTGACCCCAGACACGAGTCTGAGGAAGCCAAGACGGCGTGCGTATGCTTGGAGCAAGGGATGCATACGTAGACAAGACTGTTGTCGTCAGCTTTGTAAACCCCCCATGCTGCTGCCCCAGATCAACATATCCGGCAAGGATGTTTGCGCGTGCATCTCGGTAGCCTTGGCGGTTGCGCAGCAGGGTCCTGGCGGAATGTCGCGGATATGCAATGCCTTGTAGGTGATTGTTCACATGAACCCAAACCCTGTCAGTCAGTCAGCCTTACCGCCATCAACGCCGCGCCCTGAGCGAAGCGACTATCGGTGAAAACGCCGAGATACGGCACAGACGTGATCACCCGCCGCCTCACAGCACGACAGTCTTTCGTACATATGCTTCCGCCGAGGGTCCGACCGACGCTTGAGATTCGTCCGTAGTTGGGTTGTCCTTGCTACACCTACAGGGAGGGGATGTGGGGCCTGTTTGCGGTAAGACCACGCGGTTGACATCGTCAGGTTAGGTATGAACCTCATACATTGCTTTCTTTGCAGCGGCCCAACCCAGAACAGGGCTGACGAGATTGGTGATCACCAGCTCCAAAACGCGTATCAGCGTTACTGACAAATCATGCCTATGCTGATCCCGTTTGTTCGAACTATTGGGGTAGGGACTGCGAGGTTATACAGAACATTGTGCGTTACCAACCGGATGGTGAAGCGGAGGTTGAAAGTATATGGCCGAGTAAGGGCCGCCGTCTCGACGCGCCAACGAGGCATATCGTCGGTTTATGCCGGTTATCAGATTGTGGAAGCAGAAGCGACGAGCCGGATTGGGGGTCAATGTAAGTGTTGCTGAACCCGAGCTAATCTTGACCAAATCTAGACCCTGAATATACTTTCCAAGGTTGCCTCTGTTCTGTATAGCGAGCTGTCTCCGCGCGCGCCCACGGGCGTGGAAACAATGCTAAACCTCCGAAAGGCGATCCACGACTAGCTCTGCAGTCGTTATGCACGTCATACCTGTAGCCTTTTAGCTGCGTCTCAGATCGTGCTAGTGAAAA